AACTGCAGCCCGGCCCGCGACGAGCGCGACTTGGCCTTGGCGCGCGCCTTCCCGCCCTGCTTCCCGCGCCCGGACATCTCGCCTCGCTCGCTCGCTCCCCGCGGACAAGAACGCACAGCACAGCACAGCAGAGCAGGCACTCGGCGCTCCCCAGCTCGGCTCTCGCTTTACTATCTCGTCCCTTCGCTGATAGGCTGAGAAGTAGGTCTTGCACAGGGAGCCAATGAGAAGGCGAATCCAATTCTGACCAATCAGACGCGACTGCTTGGGAGCGATGACATCTTTTTCTGGTTGACCAATGAGGGTGCGCGCGGTCAATGCCGCTCATTTGCATAGAGCAGCTATAAATAAGTGGCGCTCAGCCGCGCTCCTCACTTCGCCTCTGGGTTGATCTCCGAGCGCTTCAGTGGTTCCGGGAGTCAAACCATTGCTGCCATGCCCGAGCCGGCCAAGTCCGCCCCCGCGCCCAAGAAGGGCTCCAAGAAGGCGGTGACCAAGACGCAGAAGAAAGGCGACAAGAAGCGCAAGAAGAGCCGCAAGGAGAGCTACTCCATCTACGTGTACAAGGTGCTGAAGCAGGTGCACCCCGACACGGGCATCTCGTCCAAGGCCATGGGCATCATGAACTCCTTCGTCAACGACATCTTCGAGCGCATCGCCGGCGAGGCGTCGCGCCTGGCGCACTACAACAAGCGCTCCACCATCACGTCGCGGGAGATCCAGACGGCCGTGCGGCTGCTGCTGCCCGGCGAGCTGGCCAAGCACGCCGTGTCCGAGGGCACCAAGGCTGTCACCAAGTACACCAGCTCCAAGTAAACGCCTGCTCAAAATACCATTTAACCCAAAGGCTCTTTTAAGAGCCAGCCACTTTTTCAATAAAAGAGCTGTACAGTCAAGTAAGAAACCTTAGAGTTACTTTGCAATCCTTAACTTAAACGGTTTTTTTGTTTGGCGTTTTAGTTTTTCATAGTTTTTTGGGTTTTACAGGCTGTAATTATTTTGTTAAAATTTTTATATCTGTAAATGGTTTTATATTGCTGGGAGTATTGCGTTCTTTTTTAAGGTGGTGCTTTCCTTAATTTATGGTTTTCAGAATTTTCAGTAACGTTATATGTGAACAAAACCTTACTATTGCAGGTCTCAGTATTGCATGTGTTGATGCAGATATATTTACAATACAGATATTGTTTAATATTTTCATCAATATCAGGGTCTTCAGGGAATTAGCAGATGTATTGCGTTGTAACCGAAGGATAGAAATCTTTCTGGAATTTTTTGGTAAGGATTGAATTGAAGTTAATAATGGATACTCATCCATTAATAAACAACATTGCTATAGTAAGATCTACCACTTGATGGCGCTCAGCCTCTGGTTTTTGGGGTTGGGGTTATTTTTAGCAGGCGAGATGAGTACAGCACACTATAAAATAAAAGAATTTATGTAGCGACAAGTGACATTTACCTTAACCTCTTGAAAATCGCCCTGTGATAAATATAACTTAGAAGTACTTTCTAAAATCTCCTTTATCTTTCCCATTTGTCTTTATAATTCTATTGTAAAAGTGATTTTTTTACAGTGACTTGCCTAGCTTCTCCCCATGACTGCTTTAAGTTCTCCTTGCAAATAAGAAAACATGTGAAGATTAATATTTTATTTTTTTTTACTTATCTTTTTCTGCATTTATCTGTCACTAGTTGTAGTAGAACCATTAGATACTAAGAAACTAGACCCTCTAGCCTGACTTTGTAAGCTACCAGACTTTATTACATAGCTACTAATTAGGCTCAAACTGCAGGCTGAGTCACTCCCTGTCATTCTTGGATATTCTTGGATATTTACATACCACCATAGATGCAGATCAAAGCCATTATCAGTTTCAAACTGCATCTGAATAATCCTAAATTTCCACTATATATTGTGAACTTCTGAAAATACCTAATTCGTAGAGGGACCACAGTGTCGCTGTGGCAGCAGACGTGACACAAAGCAGATCCATAAGAAACTTCATCCAAGCCTTTATTGTGCCTGCACACAGCGTTTTCATCCCCTTCTCACCCCATAGTGCACCCCATTCCATTGGCCATCACCACACCACCCCTCAAGTCCATTGGTGGAAGCACTGTTTTGAGAAAATATCCCCAAAAATCCAAAATACAGATAGATCTTGTTTTTCCATGGTTTCTCGAAGCACAGATGTTCTTTGTTTTCCTCTACCTTTGTCTTCTTTCTCCTCACAGACACACAGGAATCCTGTTGGCTTCTTCTTTCTGTTAACTCTTTCATCTGACCCTCAGCCACAGTTCCCTATTTTCTTTGTATTTGAGCAGCAAACACAGCTGCCAAGGATTTCTGCAGAGCCCTTTGCAGAAATCCAGGCAAACAAGGGAGATACAAAACAACAATTATAATCACCAGCAAAATTGACAATCCAATTCTTAACCATGCTTTTAACCATACAGTGATGGCCCACCCTACAAAGAAACTACTTAACTATTCCCATTATTCATCCACCCATAAGTGAATAATTCTTTCTTTAAAATCTAAACCACTCCTGTGATTTAATTTGTTACAACCTGATAAATTCACAAACACAACTTATCCTGATGTATGGTCTCAGCCAGTGTCATCCACATGTTCTGCTTTGGCTGTAGGACCATCCATCCTGTTCATTTTTGCACGCTCTAGGTAAGGCTTGATACAGAGAGCAGGAACCCAACCAGGGCCATTGTCTCTCAAAACACAAACATATCCCCTTCCCCAAGTTATTAATTCCATGGGACCAGACCACACTCCAGTAAGTAAATCTTTAACCCACACCTTAGTATTTCTACCAAGGTCTGATTGTTTAGAATTCAGAGAGGAAAAATGATAGAAAATAGGAGACAACTGTGAATCAGGCAAGGGACTTTAAAAATTTAAGACATAAACTGCCTTATCTAATCTCACTTGAGGGGGTTCCTGTTGCATTCCCCCTTTCTGTTTTTCATTTTGGAGCTTAAGAACGCCATGTGCTGTTTCAGTGATTGCTTGGCCCATAGAGGCATGGGGGATACCTGTAGAATGATCAATGCCCCAAATACAGAAAACCATTTGCAGCTTTTGAGAAACATAGGCTGGGCCATTATCTGTCTTTATGTGTGATGGAGCTCCTGAAATAGAAAAAGCATGACAAAAATGATGAATAGCATCACAAGCTGCTTCTCCTGTAAATGCTAATGCAACCATTGCATGAAAGTGTCAACTGTGACATAAACATACTTAAAATGACCAAATTCAGGTATTCTGGTAACTCATTGCAGCATTTACCTGTCGCAAATCATGCAAAAGTTTCCATTTCTCTGATTTATTTTATTTATTATTTATGAAAAGAAAGGGGGTATTCCATGGGCTGAATGATTTTTCAGTATGTCCAGCTTGCAGCTGCTCTGCTACCAATTCTTGCAGGGCAGCAAGCTTTTCAATAGTGAGGTGCCACTGACTGACCCAGACAGACCATGTCAGGGCCTGGATGTTTAAGGCCCTGCATCCCAGTGGCCCCTGCTAAAAATCCGTAGTGATTTTGACACCCCACTGAGATAAGCAATCTCCCCCCCCCCAAATTATATTGGGAACAAACAACATAAGGCCTGATGTTAGGCTTGTTGGCCATCAGGGTGTTTTACATTTATCTCAATGGCAGACAGAGCACCTGCAGTTGAACCACCCCGTTCAATAATTCCAGAACCCTTTTGTGTAAGAGGCCACGTCTGAGGCCAGTAAAGCTGCAATATTATAGTTACATCTGCTCCTGTGTCAATCAAACCTGTTATTGTTATAGTCTCTGCATGATGTCCCTTGGCTGTGATGACACATGTTCTTTCCAGACATTTCTCTGTCACTTTCTGAGTCCAAAATACTCGAGGTGCTCCTGTAGATCCAAAACCTCCTGTGCCACCACTCCGGTTCACTGTATTTGGAACACAACTCACAAAGGCATCAAGTTGAGCAATGCCTTTCAGAATGATAACAGGGGGTTCACTAACAGATACCATAGCATGAATTTGTCCCAGGTAATCAGCATCAATAATCTCTAAACGTACATAAATACCTTTAATAATACTGCTTGATCTCCCTATCAGAAAAGCACTCAGCCTGTGTCCTATGGGACTATAGGCATCAAGAGGAACTTTGTATATTTGTTTTATTGCAATAGCTACTGTGTACATGGTGAGTATATCTATGTATTTACCTCTGTGGAGCCCCTTATGACCCCTGAATAGTTTCCACAAATTGACAGCTTTTCAGTTCTGGGAGAGCTTGTGGTTGTTGGCGTATTTGTCCCCCCACCCTGCTCTGTGCTCTTCTTCCAGTTTCCCTGCAACAGCTTTCTGTTTGCATTGTTTAGTGTAGTGTCCAGATTTAACACAGCGATTGCAAATAGTCTTACAGCTCAAATTTGTTTTAGCTTTCATCTTTTGCTCATTATTTTTTGGGCATTGTGCCATTCCCCGTCCTTGCTCTTCGGGAGTAAAACATTTCTGTTTTGGAGGTGCCAGCTCCATTGCTTTAATTAGAGCACTGATGCCTATTTGTTGAACCTGTGCCAAAACCAAAGGATCCCACTGGGCCTGTAACTGTGGGTCATCAAAAGGCCCAGTGCCCATCAAGGCATCAGCTCCCACCCCATGACAGGGGTGTTGCTGTGAGAGCTTCATATTGTTTAAGGCAGCACTCTCAACTAACTCCCTCCACATATCTTGAAATATATCATACAGTACAGGTTCAAACAAAATCATAGCAAGGTGTCTTATATCACGTGGAGCAAGCCTATAAACATTAATAACATGAACCAATTGCATTACCTCAGGAGAATTAACACCAAATTGGGTGACCTTTGACAGAAGGGATTGAACAAATCCCCAGGAAAATGCTTTATGTGTATAATTCTGTCCTGTGTTAGGAATTGCTCTGGGAGCAGGAAAGGCTGTGTGATCATTACTAACAACATCTGTACCAGCACTGGGTGCATTGGTCATTGCTGGCAGACCTAGTTTTTCTATTAAGTCCCCATCACACATCTCCATTGCCTTTTCCTTGACAGATTGCCAAAACTGGGCAGGGTTGAGTGGCATCACAGACACTTCACAAGAAGGTAAAGTCCAGGGAGCAGCAAGCTTAGATCTACTATAAGATTTATGAGAAGCAGATCCACGCTTCTGACCAGAGTTTCTCATCTCTGGCAATTCATCATCTTCTCTGCTAGAATCAGGTAACGGAGGAGAGACTCTCAACAGCTCTGCTCCTTCATCTGACTTAGAAGAAAGCGGGGGGGCAGACGGCTGGGCTTGTGTCTCTCTCAAGGTCAGCTCTGCTAACTGCCGGGCAGGAGGAAGGTATTTGCGCCTCGCGTTTAACTCCTGCTGTGCAGGAGAAGGATACACTGGTTGTCCGCGGTCTCTCGGAGACAAATATCGGGGGGTATTGCTCCGTGACCGCTCGGTCCCCCCATCAGCAGAGCCTGATGAAGCCCCCACGGAAGCGACTCCCGCAGGCTGTCCCCCAGGGAGGGGCACAGCACCAGACTGAATCTCAGCCATCTGTTGTTGCCCACCAGCTCCCGTGCCTTGCCCTGGTTCTCGTTCCACCTTCTGCTTCATCCTCCGCTCTCTTAAAACATCATAAAGCTGTCTCCACGTCGTAGCTAAATTTACAGCTGCTTTGTCCCCTTGCGAGATCACATCCCACAGTCTGTCCCCAACGGCTTTCCACTGTCTAAGGGAAAAAGCTGTATTTACATCAGTGCACAAATTTTGGGATTTAGCCCATAGTAACATGCTACGAAGAGCATCATCTGTAATTTTAATGCCTTTGCTTTGAAGCAAAGCTTTCCATGCAGACAAAACTGTGCTCTCTTCTCTTGATAAGTTCGAGCCCATTTTCCTCTAACCGATGGCTCACCTGGTAAATATGCCAGATGCCAGAGGCCTCACTGGTCTGTGCTCCCCGTGGCTCACCTGGAGTTCCAACTCTGGATGCCAAATTCTCTGGGTCCGGAGCCCTTTGGCTGCTCCCCTCGCCGCTCTCTGGGTCCTGCAGGGCTCTGCTCCCCCCATCCGTCCCCACGGGTCTGTTGTGCTTCACGTCACCAGACACCGCTGTTGGAGCAGATGTGACACAAAGCAGATCCATAAGAATCTTCATCCAGCCATTATTGTGCCTGTACACAGCGTTTTTATCCCCTTCTCACCCCATAGTGCACCTCATTCCATTGGCCATCACCACACCACCCCTCAACTCCATTGGTGGAAGCACTGTTTTGAGAAAATATCCCCAAAAATCCAAAATACAGACCTTGTTTTTCCATGGTGTTCCTTGCAGCACAGATGTTCCTTGTTTTCCTCTACCTTTATCTTCTTTCTCTTCTTCTCACAGACACACAGGAATCCTGCTGGCTTCTTCTTTCTGTTAACTCTTTCATTTCACCCTCAGCCTGCTGTGGGCCCTCTCCACACCACAGAATCACAAAAGCAAACTTTCTAGTATTGACTTGCATATTCTTTGGTAGTACAGGTAATGAGACAGGCACCAGGTCTCATAAATCTGTCACCTATTACCTAATAAATGTTCATTTCAGTTTGAAGTGTTATGGGGACTTCTCAGATTGGATTCAACATATCCAGTAGGAAGAGGCATTCTCCAAATGTAACTGGAATAGGAAAATGGTGTTTTGCTTGAAATGATGTTTTTTGAAATGAAGCTTGAAATTGTGTTTTGCTATCTCTCCAAGTGCTTAAGTGCAAACTCTGAAACACAGGTTGCTTATTCTTAGTGTCTGTGTATGTCTAATATCTTAAAAGATTAATGAACCATTGTATATTCCAGTCTCTAGGCTTTTTCAAGTTTTCCTGGGTCACTAGAAAAGCACAAAGAAGTGCTCATATTTTGACGGTTGAATATGGTCACCAGAAGAATTTTTCTGTGGCTATTCTGTAAAATCAGTTGTGTAAAACTACCTCAGTGGAAACTACAGCTATCATGGGAAAGCCCTGCTGCCTGATTTAAAGTTTGAGCTCAGTGATGCCTTTTGGCCTCCCAGCTCATAAGTGTTGGTTTTGCCTTTCCTATGTTTGTGTGCTCCATGCTGCACCCTTCATTAGAAGCTGTCACAGAAATTCAGAGGATTTTTTTATTAGATTGATTCAGTGTGTGAAATTATTACTAGGCCTATGAAACCCTTTCCTAAAGAGAAAACAAAATGTTGCTGATTGCTTCTTTTAATTTCAGTATGAATGATAAGGCAATATTAGGGGGCTACAATGTGGTCATAGCATTTGACATTAGATCTGATTGTAACATAATTCATTTTTCTAACAGGGCTGAGCACAAAGCCCCTGAACTCACAAAGAGCTACTACCATGGAGAAATTTTGAACTTGTTTTCACCAGAGGTAAAAGTAGTAGGATTTAAAGCTCAGCAAAAACAACAAATCTTAAAAATTTCATACCACTATAGGATGAATATTCAAAACCACTAGTGCAACTACTGTGAGTATAAAATCATATGACAGCTTATTATTCCATAATCCATGTTCTTTACTGTTCTTTCCTATTTATTTCAGAGCAGTCCTCTTTGTAAAGACACCCTACCCAGATGACATCACCCAGCACCAGTAACAGGGCATGATGTTCAAATACAACACCCTGGTAGAGCAGGTATTATTGCTGCTGCCACCAAAACATGAAGGAACTAAGCAGATGCCCCCTCTAACAATTTTCCTGCCCTAGGTTCCTCTTGGAAGATCAGTTTCCAATTCACTGAGTAAATAGTTTCTTTATCCAGTATGCAGAGGAGATAGAGCTGAGTGCCTTCAAAGAGGAATCCCCTATAGCAGATTGCAACCCAAATTATGTCTGTGACACCCATCACCCAATCCCCAAATCCAATAATTTAATTCTTGATGGTGGTCCCTTGACATCATATTGAGTTTTTTGGTCACAGGGCTGGCCTCCTCCTGAAGTTATCTCATTTTTTGGGTTTGGTCCCCTGGCCCAGCTTTATTCTGCTTCTGTCTTGCCAGTTTCAGCTTGTTCTGTGTTTGTGACATTATTTTAATCAAAAAATTTACACTGCCATCAGCTCATGTGCCCTAGGGCTCCAACTTGTTGATCATCCAATGCAAAGTTATTAATCCAAACAATTCTCAGAACTGAGAAGTGCTTGAAAGCACAATCTATAAACAGGCCCTTCATACTGTCTTTTAATCTACCCTCCATGTTTACCTTCAAAGCACCACTTGATTCACAACATCTGAAATATGGGGAATATTCACACCTGGTAATACAAACATTTTTGTCAAAACTTTTTTTATTTTATCAGCAACTTTTTGCATCTCAAATGATCAAAGTGACATTAATCTTGTAGTAAATAACCAGGAAAAAAAAGAGAATACTTAAGAACAATATAACCAGTTACAAAATTTTGCCCGATTTCATTTTTACTAGAAAAAGAAAGTCAATATCACTCCTGGGAGAACATATTTCTCCTCTAGACAAACATCCCCACAGTAAAATTTATATTCATTCATTATGTTTAAATAAGAAAACACCCTCTCTTTTTATTTCTGTGATAGTGAAATACACCATCTGGGGAAACCTGTATCTGTATTCTCTAGCTAACTCACTGAACAGTGTATCAGAAATGAGAAATAGATGCCAAACACCTGGATCAAAAGGTGAAATCACAGACTCTCTTTAGCAATTTTCTGCTGAAGTTTTGTGGGATTTTTGAGGGTTTTTGGTTTTGGCGGGGTTTTGTTTGGTTTTTTTTTAATGCTTGTTTTGTTTTTATTAATGAAGTAAAGCAATATCTGCTCTCAAACCTGAAATAATTTATTTTAATGGCCACAGAATATAATTACCAGACACCCAAAAGAAAATATTTCAGTGTTAGTTTCTCAGAGGCTTTCTTTCCCATTTTAAATAGGAAATGTTATATTTGAAAACAATTACAGTTGCGTGAGAAAGCATTAACTGCAGCTAGGGAAAAATATTTGGTGTTACACACACCTTGATGTAATGTTTTTGGCCAGTGGTGAAAATCTGCCCGGGTTGGATAGTAAAAGAAAGAAATTGAGACTTCATGTTCCTAAACTCGGTCTAAGGATTGTGCCACTCACAGAACAACACAGCTCAAGACATGACACAAATCTCAGTGGAGGAGAGGGCTGAAGGTAGATGGGAATGCAGCTGGGAACTTCTCCTTTCCCAGCTCACACACCTATGGGGAAGAAGAATCATTACAGGGAGCAGAGACAGCTTTTTCCTCAGGGACTGGGGTCACAGAGCTAGAGGCCTATGTAGGTGGAAAGGGTGTTTTCAGTTAGATTTCTTTCATGGCTACAAAGAACCAAATTATTTGACTGCAGTGCTATCGAAGAGGTTGTTCCAAAAGCACTCCTTGTCAAAAACGATAGAAGGTATTTTTCAAATAACTTCATACTTTCATTTTTAACACTGAAAATCTCAGGAAGCAATTCTGAACATTATGGATTTTACAACTAGAAAATAAGTAGATTGAAAAGAGTTACAGAACAAATCAGAATTTAATCCCACATAAAATCCACAGCCTTTTTGTGCTTGTACTCCTAGTTATTTTACATAAGGATTTTTTTACTTGCAAAAGTCATAGGAAAATGGAAGAAATAATTCCTGAAAGAAGAAGAGAGCACACATAGAGTGTTACATCTGAAATGTGAACTTCAAACAGATGAAAGGACATTAACCTCCTTTTGTGCGGTATCAGAAGAAATGCACACATCTCTGGTATTCAGCCTCTTTTCCTTTTGTGGCAAATAGCAGCCACTGCAACAATAAACAATCTGAACACTCCACATGTTCAAGTTTTGGTTGTTTTTGGTTTTTTTTCCTTATGCTCTAGGGACACAGCAAGGTTATTCCAATTAGAAAAGAGGACAAAAAATGCCATGAGAATGGCATAACTCCAATCTTTCAACACATCAAAAACCATCTTTAAACAGAGATGACTCAGCCTGTGCTCCAAGCAGCAGCAGACTGGACCGACTGCATCACAGGCAGACCTGGGTGCCCAGACAGCTAAGCCGGCTCAGGATGCCAAATTTATCCAAGTCTGTTCTACTTGACATTCAGGGGCTTCTGAAATCACTGTTAGAACCCCCATGAAAGAAGTGAAAAGGTCACATTTCACAGGCATATGCAGCTGCTGGAGTTTTAGCCTTAAGCGATACTTACATGTCATGAAAAGCCTCATAAGATGTGTATGTGTTGTACTTCAGATTTACCACAGCAG